CTTGTTTTCTCTCTCTTTCTGGTCTGCAGAGTTAATAACCTGATTATTGGAATTTCCCTTTTTTACTGTTAACTTTATTTCCAGTTTCGAGAGTGTTATACTGCTAATCTTAGAGAAAGAAATCTCTTACTTGGAAAGTGTTTACTTCAGTTCAGTTCAGTTCAGTCACTCAGTCATGTCCAACTCTTTGCGACCCCATGAATCGCAGCATGCCAGGCCTCCCTGTCCATCACCAGCTCCCAGAGTTTACTCAAACTCATGTCCATCGAGTCAGTGATGCCATCCAGCCATCTCATCCTCTGTCGTCCCCTTCTCCTCCTGCCCCCAATCCCTCCCAGCAGCAGGTTCTTTTTCAATGAGTCAATTCTTCGCATGAGGTGGCCAAAGTATTGGAGTTTCAGCTTCAGCATCAGTCCTTCCAATATACACCTAGGACTTATCTCCTTCAGGATGGACTGGTTGGATCTCCTTGCAGTCCAAGGGACTCTCAAGAGTCTTCTCCAACACCACAGTTCAAAAGCATCAATTCTTCAGTGCTCAGCTTTCTTTATAGTCCAACTCTCACATCCATACATGACTACTGGAAAAACCATAGCTTTGACTAGATGGACCTTTGTTAGCAAATTAATGTCTCGGCTTTCTAATACACTGTCTAGGTTGGTCATAGCTTTTCTTCCAAGGAGCAAGCGTCTTTTAATTTCATGGCTGCAGTCACCATCCACGGTGATTTTGGAGCCCAAGAAAATGAAATCTGACACTGTTTCCTCTTTTTCCCCATCTGTTTTCCATGAAGTGATGGGACCAGATGGCATGATCTTAGTTTTCTGAATGTGGAGCTTTAAGCCAACTTTTTTACTCTCCTCTTTCACTTTCATCTTTAGTTCTTCTTTGCTTTCTACCATAAGGGTGGTGTCATCTGCATATCTGAGGTTATTGATATTTCTCCCAGCCATCTTGATTCCAGCTTGTGCTTCATCCAGCCCAGTGTTTCTCATGGCATGAATCAAACACAAATTAAAAGTAAAAATCAAGCACACATTGATTCGCTTTTTTAGTCTTCTGAGAAGTACACTGTTGTCCCATTTATCCAGCATACTTAAGGGCTGAGCTCTTCCATTAAACACATTTTTTTTTTTTTTTCAGGAAATTTTACCTCTTCAAATGCAGCCTGTAAAAACTTACTGCCAGAGTCTGTGAATATCTTTCTAAAATATGAGTTATCTGCCTGCCTTCTTAAGAAGAAGATACTGAATACAACTTAGTCTTATCCTCATGATCTCAGATCATTGTTCTGAACAAGTACTGTCTTACCCTACCTTGTACTTGAGGGTAGCGGGAGAATCAGTACTGAGGTGTGAAGGGCTATTGAAGTGTGAAGGGCTGTGCTAGGGCTGAGGGGAAGCACACCAGATCATTTTGGTTCTTGGAAAGGCTTTTGGAAATTGTGTTTGTGTATGTGTGGGGGTGTACTCTCTCTAGTACTGTCCTTATAGTTGGTTACTTTTAAGCTTTTGTGGTTGAAATACCTAGACCTAAACTTGTGGCTCTGAGAGCCTGCTAAGCTCCTCATGTGTAAACTTGGGCTTTGTGACATCTGCTTAGGTCATTTAGAAGCTGTGGTCGTTCCATTTCTCATTCTGGATTGTGTAGTAGGTATCCGAGACTGCCAGATTACTCACCTCTGAGTAAGCAGGCAGATTCTGTAATGTTATGCTCATTTTGCAAGCTAGTAAATGGTTTCACAACTCTCCATCTCAAATCTTCATTCTCTTTTAGACTCTACTTTACTAATGATTCTGCCAGCTATTCCAATCATCCCATCAGAGACCCAGGTTGTAGCATGAAGCTTTGGGGTACATAATTTTAAAGTCAGATGTTTCTGAGTTTGATTCTCTGCTCCCCAGCTTAATAATTGCATAATCTTAGGCATGATAATTTGTCTCACCCATCCATTTAACAAATATTGAGTTGACCAAAAAGTTAGTTTGGGTTTTTCCATAAGCTGTAAAAGTCCAAATGAACTTTTTGGCCAAGCCAATATTTACTGAATACCTATTGTGTACCATGCGTTGTTCTGGGCTTTTGGGGTAGAGTTCTTGGCGACTACAGCTTCTGCAAGCAAGTAAATACAAGGTGGGTCAAATGGTGGTGGTGCAAGGGATATGGAGGTTAGAGAGTTGAGTGATAGAGGTACGTTTGGCAATGTTTATGAAAGCTGTTTCAGAAGAGTGGTAGGGATGAAAGGCTGATAGAAATTCATTTGAGTGAGATTTGAAACACCATATATGTCAGCCTTTTATAGAAGTTTTGCAGTAGAGGCAGTCAGAAATGTGTTACAGTAGCTGGTGGGAGGAGTGTGGGGTCATGTGGTGGTTTTATTTTAAGATCCAGCATTTCTGTCTCCTGATGTGAATGACTCAGCAGAGAGAGGGAAATGGAGGATGCAGAGGAGAGAGGAAATGATTGTTGGAGGGGTGTTCTTGAGCTGGTCAGAGGAATGAGAGCTGCCACACAGGTGGAGGGCTGGGCCTCACCGTGGAGGCCACAAGTTTGTCCAGGGCCGCAGGAGGGACAGAGGAGAATAAAGGCATGTAGGACAGGCTGTCAGTAGAAATGGTGGTGGGAGTATATCAGAATCTGTTCCAGTTGCTTCTGTTTTCTCGTGAAAAGGAAAGCTGGCTCATCGTGTGAGAGAGAAGATGGGGAGGGAGTGTTGAAGGTTTAAGATCCCCTGGAGAAGGGATAGGCCACCCACTCCAGTATTCTTGGGCTTCCCTGCTGGCTCAGCTGGTGAAGAATCCGCCTGCAATGCAGGAGACCTGGGTTCGATCACTGGCTTGGGAAGATCCCCTGGAGAAGGGAAAGGCTACCCACTCCAGTATTCTGGCCTGGAGAATTCCATGGACTATACAGTCCGTGGGGTCACAAAGAGTCTGACGTGACTGAGTGACTTTCACTTTCACTTTCCCGTGTTTTTTCTACCTCAAAAAACAAGTTGTAATACTGTCATTGCCTTTGAGAAGTACTGGATAGTTTTTTTTCATTTATTTTTATTAGTTGGAGGTTAATTACTTTACAATATTGTAGTGGTTTTTGTCATACATTAACATGAATCAGCCATGGATTTACATTACCCCTCCCACCTCCCTCTCCACCCGATCCCTCTGGGTCTTCCCAGTGCACTAGGCCCAAGCACTTGTCTCATGCATCCAGCCTGGGCTGGTGATCTGTTTCACCCTAGATAATATACATGTTTCGATGCTGTTCTCTCGAAACATCCCACCCTCACCTTCTCCCACAGAGTCCAAAAGTCTGTTCTGTATATCTGTCTCTTTTTCTGTTTTGCATATAGGGTTACCGTGCTTCCATCTTCTGCTTCACAATTTCTTTCCCTGTTCCTTCACTCATTGGAAAGCCTTTTAGTGGTTTTCTCTTTTGAATTTCCAAGATGGCTTGCACACACCTTGATTATAGCGCTCTTCAATAAACTGCAGTCATTTCTTTACGTTTCTGCCTCCAACCTCATCCCTACTATGCACATATTTCTCTTCCCAGCCCCTAGTACAAGATCTTAATGTTGCAGATTTTTAGGTAACTGTTTACTAAATAGAGGAAGGAAGGGAAAATAAAAGTTTTGCCTCTTTTCCCATATTTTCAGTTCAAGTTCTGATATTCAAAGATTAAAAAGCATATCACCCTTCATTTTGTGTCTCTAGAGATGGATTAACAGTGACTTCTTTTTCCTTTGGATTTATTTTGGAAATCCCATTTATTTACCTAATATTTGTTATTTTTCTTCTGGTATGTCTGAACAATGAAGAATATTTCTTGGCACCCATTTAACAAGACATATTCAAAGAAGATTTATTTTCTAACAACTGCTTCCCTTTCAGATAATGGCAAATTACATAAAACATTTTTAGGTCAAACAAGGCAACTGAGAAATTTTGACTTTGACCACGGCTGAGGCAATTTGCTGTGGAGATGGCTGGAGGCACACGGAGGTTCCTGAAGCCAGTTGGGGGCTGTAATTGATTTCAGATGTTCTCTGAATAACACTGAAGATAAATGTCCCAGAGGTAGATTATCGGAGGGCTTTTTAGCTGTTTCTAATAAAATTTTCCTTAAAATTCCAAGATTTTTTTTTCTACAGATGCATATAATAATTCTAGCATGAACTAGTGGGCCTGAATGAAAACTGCACATGTTTGTTAATAATTTTCCATTTCCCCCTAATTATGAAAGGAATTCATGGTCATGGTAGAGAAATTGAAAGTTACAGATATCTATAAAGAACAAAATAGAAAGAATCACTGGATACTTACATACTTACATCTATCTAGTTGAGATCATACAGAATGTAGTTTTGTATATTAATTTTTGTGTGATATTATATCCTGAGTTTTGCTGTCATCATTACAGATATTTCATAGTATGAATTCAGTAGGCTTATAATATTGTACAGCAGTTTTTTCCTTCACAGTTTTCCATAAACTCTTAGAGATTCATAGAGTTGTCTTGGGGCCACCACAGAGCTTGGGGGAAGCCGGAATTGGGACAGAAGCTGCTGAGTTTAGACTCCCCTTGTGCTTTTCAAGCAGAGCAGCTCCACATTTAACTAATTTACATACTGGGCTTCTGCACAAAGTTCTCCTTGAAGAAGGATTCCCAAGCATATCAAATTTGAAGTCAGTCACCAATAAGCCATCATTTATTTAACCATTTCACATTTGTTGCATATCCAGTGTTTCTATAGTCCAAGTAATATCATGGACAACTTTTAAATTATTAATATATAATATAAATGTAATATATCCAATATAAATATGTAAATAATATATAGTATATTTTAAATTTATAAACTATATAAATATATAAGGCTCCCCTGGTGGCTCAGACAGTAAAGAATCTGCCTGCAATGCAGGAGACCTGGATTTGATCCCTGGGTTAGGAAGAGCCCCTGGAGAAGGGAATGGCAACCTACTCCATTTTTCTTGCCTGAAGAATTCCATGGACAGAGGAGCTTGACGGGCTGCAGTCTGTGGGGTCACAAAGAACAGGACACGACTGAATGACTTTCACTCACTCACTCATATAAATATATAACTATCCCTTTAAGATACATATTTATAAATAGATCCAGACTCAGATACTGGGTCAAGAATAGATGCTATTCTGTTGTTCTAGAGAAATATGGCCTGAAGGATGATTGTATGACTTCAATTCCTAATACAGTGTATTAATACAAAAGGACCCATCTCATAGCACACAGCTGACGCTTTCTTGGTGTTATTTTCTGTTTGCTGGTTGAAAAGTAACACATCACTGTTATTTTAATAAGCAATTATTTTATTATGCAAAGGCTAAACTTTAATCTGCATAGTTGTTAAGTGATATTTTCTTGCATGAATTTTCCTTGCTAAAATTTCTGTTGGAGGATTAGTGTTATTCTAGTGGATTTTTAAGATTTATAAGTATGCTTTGTCTATTAAAAGTAACAGTCATTTTTCTAATTTGTGGCTACTTTTCCAGCTCATCACTTAAGTAATATGATAATCTTTTTATATATTTTGTGGAGTCTCATTTATCAGTTATTTGCTTGATGATTCCTTCCATTTGGAAAATCTCTTTCCATTTACTTAGACTTTCACCCATAATTTCTAAGAGTCCAATAATATCATTTTTAAAAATTAACATTAATTTACAAAAGTTTATTTAGGACCAAGATATGTTTTGTTTTGGGCTTCCCTGGCGGCTCAGACAGTAAAGAATCTGCCTGCAATGCAGGAGACCTGGGTTTGATCTCTGGGTCAGGAAGATTCCCTGGAGAAGGGAATGGCTACCCACTCTAGTATTCTTGCCTGGAGAAAAGGGTTGGACACTACTGGGCGACTAACACTTTCACTTTCATGTTTTGTTTTAAATTTACAATAGTTAATTTTTATGTTGCTTTAAAAATAATTCATACCAGTCTTATTGGATTATTAATGTGTGAGAATGCAATAGATTTTCTATATTGACCTTTCATACAGCAATTTAGTTAAACTGTATTATTTGCTTTGCTAGTTTGTTTGAAGTTTCTTAATGTCAAGTAATGTCACCAGGAAATACTGTTTGGTTTCTTCCTCTCCATCCTATATGTCACTTATCTTTTCTTCTTTGCTTACCCATCTGGCTAGGGTGTCTGGTGCAGTGTTGAATAGAAGTATTGATTGTGGGTATCCTTATCCTGTTCCTATCTTCAAAAGGAATGCTCCAACTTCTTACCATTCAGGGTGATTGTTGTAGGCTTTTAGTAGATTACTTTTATCAGGCTAAGGAGGTTCACTTTTATTTTTATTTGCTAAGAGTTCTTTAAAATTGTGAATTATTTTTGCATAATAGAAAATCATTTCCTCCATCCATTAGACTGTTCATTTTGTTGCTCTTATTTTGTTAAAGTAACTGAATTACATCAATTAGGTTTTCTAATGTGAACCCATATGAAAATAGACATGAATATATTATTTATTTTATACATTGTTGGATTCATTTTGATAATATTTTATTTAGGTACCTTTTGATCTATACTTTTAAACGAGACTGGATCTCCTTTCTTAAGTGTGCTTTTGAAATCAAGGTTATTTAAGCATTATAAAATGATGTTCCTTATTTTTTGCTCTCTGGAAGAGGATGTTTGGTAGAGTAAGTCTGCAAAACCAGCTGGGCCTGGTTGTGTGTGTGTGTGTGTGTGTGCTAAGTTGCTTCAGTTGTATCTGACTCCTTGTGACCCTCCAGGGTTCTCTGTCCATGGAATTTTCCAGGCAAAAATACTGTAGTGGGTTGCCATGCCCTCCTCCAGGGAATCTTTCCAAACCAGGGATAAAACTCACATGTCTTATGTCTCCTGCGTTGGCAGGTGGATTCTTTACCACTGGCACCACCTGGGAAGCCTCTGGTTGTGCATACATGTATCATAATAATGACAAAATGTATTCTGGTAGGTTGTCTGCAGAGGTAGACATGAACAGTGGGGGAAAAGGACCCCATCCTAGTCTGCACGTAAAACTTGATTTGCTTATTCTGGAACCTGGGCCTCTGTGACTTGCTTTTGCCAAGAGGATGCAGCTGTGGTTGTACTGTGCTGGCTATGGGCCTTGGGAAGCTGGGCAGCTTCTGTTTTGACTCTCTTGTGATCAGTCACCATGTAAAGAAATTCAGGCTAGGTTACTGAGTGATGAGAGGAGAGAGAATTGATTGACCGAGAAGGAGAGAATTCAGTTAGTATCTTGGAACCTCCAGCCCTGGCTGAGTATGAGGAGCAAAAATTCTAAGCCTCACCAAAATTTCAGAACCTTGAGAAGCAATAAATGATTTTCATACTAAATTCTAATGTATACTTGGGTCTGTTTCAGTCTTCTACTATTTAGTGTGTTTGGTATCATCTGTTTTTTTTCCTACCCATCTCTCACATTGTTCTTAATATTGTTTGATTACATATATTAGTCTGGTAATGCAATTTCCCCTTCTTATCCTTGGTTTTTCAAAATATTGCAGTTATTTCCACCTTTTTTCTTTCAGGTGAACTTCAGAATGTTTTTGTCAATTTCCTAAACCCCTGGAACTTTCACTAGATTTGCATTAAATCTGTGAATTATTTTGGGAAGAATATTTGCATGGTTATCATCAGTTTTAGATTATGATTTTTCTTCTCATATCTTCAAACATTATTACATTTCTTAGTAATTTTTAGTCTTTACATATTTTATATAATCCTTGATTCACTCATTCAGTTAACTACTAATTCAGAGGGCACATTTCTTACTAAGCTCAAGTTTGAAGCGCACTACTAGCAACTGTATAGGACTTTACAGAAGGTGCTTTGTATGATAATCCTATTGTTATACAAATAGTGTATTTGTATTATTACAAATATTATTTTACTGTTTTATTTTTATTTTATTATTTTATTTTTTAATTCACACTCTTTTCCTATTTATCTTTATTTAACTGTGGTTCTGCTTTATTGGGACACCTAGAGTCACCCTGGGTACGCTAATAACTGAAGTTGTATATATCAAGCTTGCTCGGTTGGATGCATGTTCCCTTGAGAAGAGTGTGTGTGTGTGTGTGTGTGTGTGTTAGTCAGTCGTGTCTGACTCTCTGCGACCCCGTGGACTGTAGCCCGCCGTGTTCCTCTGTCCATGGACCTGAGTCTGTGTGTGTTAGTCAGTCGTGTCTGACTCTCTGCGACCCCGTGGACTGTAGCCCGCCGGGCTCCTCTGTCCATGGACCTGTGTGTGTGTGTGTGTTAGTCAGTCGTGTCTGACTCTCTGCGACCCCGTGGACTGTAGCCCGCCAGGCTCCTCTGTCCATGGACCTGTGTGTGTTTGTGTTAGTCAGTCGTGTTTGACTCTCTGCGACCCTGTGGACTGTAGCCCGCCGGGCTCCTCTGTCCATGGACCTCTCCAGGGAAAAATACTGGAGTGGGTTGCCATTCCCTTCTCCAGGCGATCGTCTCCTGAATTGTGGGTGGATTCTTTACCATCTGAGCCACCAGAGAAAGATGTAACCTTGGGGAACCGCCTTGTTGCACCACCAGCCTTTTTTCCAATTTTAAGTTCTAGGCAGATGAGGCTGATCCTTAAGTTGCTGTCAGCTGGAGGCTCACTTCTGACTACATTCTCCATAGCTGAGCATCAGGTCCATTCTTGAAGGGGTACCTGGGTGGTGCATTGCTGTGTTCACCACAGCCCAGTTCTGAGAAACTTGGGAAAGACATGTCTTTGGCTCTGTCAGTATGGGTGAACAAGATGGTTCTCCGTAATATCTGCTGCTCCTTGCAGTTGTGAATTCTCTGTGTTTTTCTCCACCACAACTTTTCCTCTCTTCCCTGATGGGTGTTTATTTAACTTGCTTTAGAGTCACTGGAGAAGCTTGACTTCCAGCTTTGATGTAAAGAGTGACGGCAAGACCCTCAGCATGTAGCTGTTCACACATAAGCCCCAGCAACACACAGCCAGACAGGAAAGGGGCCTCATTTCTGGCTCTGGAAGGAGATCCCAACTAAACTGCATTGATGGCTTTCCCTTTAATTGAAACCTCTTGGCGCACCACCAGCATTGTTTGTGATTTAATCGAATTCAGCTGATGCCTTCATTTTAAAAAGTCTGTCCATAAACAAAGCAAAATTATTTTTTTCTTTCTATGTTACCTGTTTTTCTAATCATCTCAGTAAAGTTCTCCTTAAGACCATTATCTGGTGAAAGGAAGACCAATTTAGAAATGGATATGAGAGTAGCAAAATCTCAAATAGGTTTTTATTAAAATAAAATTATATTTAATAAAATTATGTGCATTGAGTTTCCAAAGAAATGTAAAAATCCATTTACGATTGGATATTCTCAGCAAGTAATTTAAAACAATGATCTCTGATCAAGATGTTTTAAACACTTCTAGGTGATGGCAGCTGTTTATTTGAACTATGCCTACTTAGATTTTGCACTACCAAATTTGCTTCTAGTTTTTAATTTAAAAAAACTTTAAAGAGGGCTTTATTTATTTATTTAGACTGTGCCTTGTGGCACGTGGGATCTTAGTTCCCCAATCAGGGATTGAACTCATGCCCTCTGTAGTGGAAACAGGCAGCTTTAACCACTGGACTGCCAGGGAACTTTCCTAAATTTCCTTTTAAAACTCAGTGTGTGATATGCCCTTTCCCAGTATTCCATTAGGGTGTTACCAGTATATAAAACTAAATAAAAATACCTAAAAACAAATAAAATGAAATAAAGCCCCTAGAAACTATGGATAATAGGAGACCAACTTCCAGAGAACAAAAGGAAATTCTGCCAGCTGCAATGACACAGAAGTTGGTTTGAAACTAAAAGACCAGGACCTGTATGCTCCCTTAGTAACACCACTATGACATGGCAAGTAGGAAAATAAGGCAGAGATTTTGGACTCACTTCCACTCTCTGGCCTTAGCTCTGAGAGACAAAGGTTCCCTAAACAGAAAAAGGCCAGCTGCCCCTCCCCACCTCAAATATATGAAATTTTG